AGTTCATACTTCAATATCACTTATTTGAGTTCTTCACGTGTTTCAGATATTTAATTTAGACAACGGCTATATATATTGTCCGATCTAAATTTATAAGGAATGTATTGAATAACATAGTGGTATTAACTTATCAATACTATTTCGAGAAATATCTGACATGACATGAAAATAGCCTGTCGCTGTTTGACTCCTGCGACCAGACAAGACCATGTTGTATAGCACATCATTTGTTTAAGGATCAAGTGGAAGCCATGCACCCTTATACGTGAGCAGACGGGCACATTTGTACTGTGTTACAATCACGTGTTATCGGCAAGGAATTTTAATTGTGTCAAAAGCCTGATATGGGCTGATATGGGTTTCCACGAATGCGTGACAAAACAACTGCTTTAGTAAAGAGACATTTTATCCTGGCAGGTGCTGTTTACTAAAGTAGTTGCCGTGACGGCTGATGTGAGTCAACGTCGATCAGATAGGATCGGCATTTAAAAAAAATCTGATATTATTTGAACCGATTTGTAGTTTGTGATGTAAACAGATTTAAAGATGAAATTTGGGACAGATAAACAACGCAAAGTAGCAAGGGACAGTTACTTTTAATGTTTACTTTTCTACTATTTACTTCATTGAAGTCGATTCTTTACCCCTTTTGAGAGAATTCTGTATACGTATTATAAGTGTTACATCTAAGGTTTTAATTTAGATTGTGACAATATAATAAATAGGGTTATCAAACTAATGATTTTTTGGTGATCGGTTACTCGAAAAATCTTCCGAACGAGTAACCGGTTAATCCGTCAATTTTGTAATCAAATAATAAACAACAAGAAACGCATTATATGTTTAGAAAATGTTCTATTTTAAACGTATTTAAACAACAAACATGCATGTATTAATCAATTAGCATGATAGTTTACTCGTGCATTCCAAGCTTAACGCAGGAAACAGTTGCATGTTACCTCAGTATGGAAACACATGACAGAATGCAGTAAGACGGGATTCAATTAGTTATTTGTATTCAAAATCATATGCGGTTACATTGTTGCTTATAGCAAAATTTGATCGACAAACGATTTAAGACATGCTTGCTAAAACATCTGAGAAACATCGGGCTCCCTAATGGGGTAAGTCATTGTCCGACTATTCTGTTATTGACTGTGGTAACCAGTTCGTGGTCTTCCGAAGGAGTAACCGTTTAACCGGCTAACTGTTGACAACACTAATTATAAAACAAAGCAAATTAGAACGACATATTTAATTCTGATGTTTAATTATTTACTATAAACTTCACAATATTTACCAGGTTCGTTATATATTTGGAAAGAAATCTAATAAATCAACTGAAAGTAGAATGTGTTATTTAATTATGATGTGTCAAACAGGTTGTATTAATACTGGTTATACACTTAAATGATTAAAAATATTAAGATTATTATTAATAATAATCAAAATATCAACAATTTCCATAGTAGACAAGATCTGCATTAGACATCGTCGGCCTTTTAAAAATTAAATTAGACCGAATCTAATTTAAAAATAATTTAGACAGCTTATACCATACAAGTTTGTTCACTCCAGTAAACACTATTAAATAGTTTTGTTCGTGTTGAGAATATTGATGAGTAAACAGCTTTTATATTTCATGAAAACTGATTAAGCGATGTCTGCTTTGATAAGAGCAAGGACGGACACAACATCACTAATGTGTGGTAGTGTACAGTACACAATAACTGACTGTTGACATGTGTAGTAGTGTACGGTACACAATCACTGACAGTTGATATAAGTACTAGTGTACCGTTTAAATCCACATACATTTGATATATGTACTAGTGTACGTTTCAAATCCACAGACATTTGATATGTGTACTAGTGTACGGTTCAAATCCACAGACAGTTGATATATGTACTAGTGCACGGTATGCATCCACAGACAGTTGATATGTGTAGTAGTGTACGGTACACCGCCACATACATTTGATATATGTACTAGTGCACGGTACACATCTACAGTTTGTTTGTTTGTTTGTTTGTTTGATTTTGTTTAACGTCCTATTAACAGCTAAGGTCATTTAAGGACGGCCTCCCCTGTGTGCAAGATGCATGCGTGTAGTGTATGTGTGTGTATTTTGGGAGGCTGCGATATGTTCGTGTTTGTCTCCTTGTGATAGCGCGGAACTGATGCCGACTTTATAGTGCTACCTCACTGAAACATACTGCCGAAGACACCCAGCAGGACGCCCCACCCGGTCACATTATACTGACAACGGGCGAACCAGTCGTCCCACTCCTAATTTGCTGAGCGTTAAGCAGGAGTAGAAACTACCATTTTTAAAGACTTTGGTATGTCTCGGCCAGGGGACAGAACCCAAAGCCTTCCTCACAGGGGCGAACGCTCAACAAATGGCCAAAAGTGAGGCATTGTCAAGGGAGACATTAGGAAGAAGAAAGTTATTTAGAAAGGAGAGAAGAGATAAGGTCCCAAATTTAGTCGCCTCTTACGATCATGCAATTGGGGGCAGCAGGTACAATTCTTACGCCCTACCTGCAGGGGTAAATATTTGATATAGGTAGTAGTGTACGCACCACATCTACAGACAGTTGATTTATGTAGTAGTGTACGGTACACATCCACAGACAGTTGATATATGTTCTAGTGTACGTTACACACTTACAGACAGTTGATATGTGTAGTAGTGTACGGTACACATCTACAGACAGTTTATATGTGTAGTAGTGTACGGTACACATCCACAGACATTTGATGTATGTACTAGTGTACGGTACACATCCACATACAGTTGATATGTATAGTAGTGTACGGTATACAACCACAGACAGTTGATATGTGTAGTAGTGTATGGTACAGATCCACAGACAGTTGATGTGTGTACTAGTGCACGGTACACATCTACAGATATTTGATATAGGTAATATTGTACGGTACACATCCACATACAGTTGATATATGTAGTAGTGTACGGTACACATCCAGACAGTTGATATATGTTCTAGTGTACCTTACACACTTACAGACAGTTGGTATGTGTAGTAGTGTACGGTACACAATGACAGTTGATTTATGTACTAGTGTACGGTACACATCTAGACAGTTTACATGTGTAGTAGTGTACGATACACATCTACAGACGGTTGATATATGTACTAATATACGGTACACATACACAGATAGTTCATGTATGCACTAGTGTACGGTAAACATCCACAGACAGCTGATATTTGTAGAAGTGTACGGTAAACATCCACAGACAGTTGATATGTGTAGTAGTGTACGGTACACATCTACAGACAGTTGATATGTTTAGTAGTGTACGGTACACATCCACAGACAGTTCATATATGTACTAGTGAACGGTACACATCCACATACAGTTTATGTGTGTAGTAGTGTATGATACACATCCACAGACAGTTGACATATGATATATTACAACATTTTTCGGAAATAAAATACCGACATTACTCCAATGAACAGCTAATTGGCTTGACAGGAGCTGACATCTGTATTAGACATCGGTTACAAAATTGTCACTTAATGTATGCTTTGTTTTGTTTGTTTGCGTATTTGTGTTAATTTCTCTTGCATGCTTTTTATGTTAACAGGACCCATAATAGACATGTGATATTCCCGACTTAAGCCTTGCTATTCAAGTGTGTGATGACGGTGTGATACTCTCTATTTACTTCGATAGATCTAGGTCGTATCTAACCGGCCGAGGAAGGACATCAGCTCTTGAGATTTATTAATTGGATAAACCTCTTAGGACAGGTATGTTCATCTTCAAAGGCTATGAACACCAGACGATTCACTGACAGCAAGCACTGTTGTTTGTATGGCAGTGTATATGCCAGTGGATTAATTTTTTATCTGATTATTCATTCCATTAACATGTTACATTTGTCCTCATGGTTGTACTTGTAATAAACAAATGTCATTTCGTCTGAAAAGTGTGTTGCCAAGGTGTCACAATGAGGAAAGATCAAGTCTTTAATCTTTTGTAGGTTTAACATTATCAGGTATTTTCAGTAATAATTTTGTGTCTATCTGGTGTCTGGGGGCAATTATCTCTTTATCAAAGATTATTGTTCTTCTTGTCTTGAAAAAGGAGCAGAACACTTGGTAAAGATACTACTAAATGTACACAGAAGTATATTCAAACCGCCAAGTGGAAACATGTAGTTCTTGAAAAAGCTATCAGCCAAACAATTACAAATCCCACCCGAGAAGGATGTTGGCATACTTTTTTGATGATTAGCCTGTTTTCCCAGAAATGATGATTGTGGCAAAATCTCAACTAATGATAGGAGTACCTTGGTAAAAAAACAGTATTGCCCATACAGCAAATAAAATATAAGCTTTAAATTGATTATGTTGTCCTTGTATTTTGTGAGCATGAGCGAGACCAGTCTGATGAAATGAAATTTGATCTAGCAATATATTGTTTATGCTTTAAGAAAAACTTCATTGACTGAGAGTGTCTTTAAATAATACCAGAGCAGAAAGAAGCTTTTTATTTGTTCATAGTACTGGACTGAATCTCATTATACATGTAGATGCTGCTATCACATGTGTCATATATAGGACATAGCATACATTCTTTCGTGAAGCATTTTAGTATTGACAGGAAAGTTTAATCAATAATCGTTTACGATATTGTCTATTCATCACAACTCCACCCTGCAACACACTCGACGTTAGTGTCCACAAGGAAATGGCATGACAGAGCTAGCTAAATCGTATAGATTATCGGTCGCATTGGTTTAATAATAAGTACTATGAACATTTCTTATACAGGTTTTAAGCAGGGAGTGTGAATCAATGTTATCTGTCTGACGCATGTATACAAATATAGCCATGGATATAAAGTCGAATACAAACTGATATAAGACATATTAGAAGCTTGTCGTAAGGTAGGAGTTCCATGTGTTATGAAAAGTATTTCGTTTTTTGAATAAAAGCATTTGTTTTTGATTTTCAGACATGCCTTCTGTAAGAATACTTAAGAATAGCTATACAGCTGAAATAGGAGACCAAGTGACACTGAACTGTTCTGTTTCGGCATTTCCATGCATTACATCGGTTTCCTGGCAACAGGTTTTGCCCGATGGGCGTATCGAACAGCTGGATAGAAGTCTTGACAAATATAGAGGATCAAACTCGAGTGACCCAAGCTTAGTAATCAACGACATTAAGAAATATGACCAAGGCGAATATACGTGTACCGTCTCAAGTTGCAGGAAAATACAGAGTGCATCAACTAAGCTCACAGTGAATGGGGGTAATACTTAACGTGTTGAGATTCATTTAAAAAGTTCCGCCTCATTTACCAAAACGCTTTAAAAGATTGTGACTAAATTTTACAAAATTTTCTTTACTGTCAATGTCATTTAACAACAATTTATTTCCTTTAATACTTTTTGTATAGACAACAACGGAACTAGGATTTTAAAAATAATTTTAGATTTGATTGACGAGAAAAGAATGTAAAAAATAATCTTTTGACAATTAAAACAAATTGATTTTCGATATGTTTTTATCATGTAGTTAATTTAACACTAGGTCCTCCTGTGCTGAATATGAACCCAAACTCTCACTCAAAAACAGAAGGAGATGTTGCTGTTCTGAAATGTAATGTTATTGCAAAACCAACAGCAACCGTTGTCAAATGGTCGAAAGGAGGAGAATTTATTGCAATCGACAATGCTAAATACATTGGTGGTGCAGTAACTTGTCCATCACTTGTTATTACTAATGCCGAAATGGAACATGACGAAGGCGTTTACACTTGTGTGGCAGAAAATAGCGAGGGACAAGGGGGTAAAAATGTGACCTTGACTATACAAAGTAGAAAGGAGGAACCTGAAAAAAGTAAGAGATATAGTTTTTTGTAAATGTTGTGAAAAGTGTCAAACGTTAATAAATAATGATTGTTAAAACGTATTTTAAAAAATGTCATTCAAACGCTTTATGCACTCCATAGGCAAACATTAAACGAGAGAAATCGAAATTGATAGAGCTGTCCTACATGGACGTTCCACGTCGTATCTTGCATACGAAGATGGCGGATAACTGTGTTAACAGATTGAACGTAAGTCAAATACTCATTTCAAAAATATTTTTGATTGATTTTCATATTTTTAACGTATTGTTTCCAGGTCTAATCGACGAGCACATCCCAGACACGGTTACCAAGGAACGTATTGTAATCCGACATGGACACATGGTGAACGATTTATCTGACTTTATCTGTCCTGAAGAAAAAGTCAAATGGGACAAATTTAAAGAATTGCTAAAAGCGTTTATGCCTCCGAGAGAACTTTCAAAAAACTTCCACGAAATTATAGACTACCTCATGCAACAGGAACACATTGACTACGGTCGTTATGACAAACTGTTTGAAGTTGTTTATAAAACACATAAAAACGTCTCACACATTATTAGGAAGGCAGAAACTGATATAAGAGTACTGGAAAGAGGTAATCATCTTTTATAAAACAATATAACTAATTTGATGTAATTATTATATATATATCATTCATATTAACTTTTTATGATGAACTTATTACAAAGAAAAAAAACCTGTTGATTACATTGATTCAATCATTGTTACATTTACATTGTATCCATTCAACGAGTTTAATAGTTCATCAATAATCACCACGGAACTTGAACTGAAGATGCTCTTGTATTCTTGTGAAGACGACTTTGTCGTATTTATGTGAGATTTGATTTTATCATTATTATCATTTCTTATGTCTAAGGAGTGACCAGCGAAGAACCAGTCGTCATAGAATGCGTCTATGATGGTGAATACAAATCAGAATTACTAAATAAATGGGTCAGCCAAATAGAAGCAGTGTTGCCGCAGCTCAAATGCAGAATTAGAGGGATCGGCTGGTCAGGTATTATTACCATTATAATTCTTAAAAGAAATATAATTGACGTAACGAACATATCGAAAAATATATGAGAAAACAAATTTAACACTATAAGTTTATCGGAATTAATTAATCTAGAAATAAAAATAAGTAACGTCAATGAGAGCTGATTTGGAGCATTTTTTAAGTTAGAATTAAACCATGTTCCCCATTTATGCAATATCAATTAAAACATAACACAGACAAATGTTAGTTACTATTTATTATACACTTCCATGGAGCACACATACAGAAAAAAAATCCCTCTTCAATAACAAAGATACAATGACAGGAAGGCAACAATATCCAGTAAACACTATTAAATAGTTTTGTTCGTGTTGAGAATATTGATGAGTAAACAGCTTTTATATTTCATGAAAACTGATTAAGCGATGTCTGCTTTGATGAGATCAAGGACGGACACAACATCACTACTGTGTGGTAGTGTACGGTACACAATCACTGACAGTTGATGTAAGTTCTAGTGTACGGTACACAATCACTGACAGTTGATGTAAGTTCTAGTGTACGGTTTAAATCCACATACATTTGATATATGCACTAGTGTACGGTACAGAACGTAGATAATGCAAGTGAATTGTGTTATCTTGTTAACTTTGTGACTCCTGACATGTTTTAATCAGTACATTCAAACATTACCTTAGTAATATTTGCATTAATTAAAAATGCAGATGATGAGTAGACGAACATATTTTAAAAACAACTTTTAACAGTAAGTTAAAAACTTTCTAACGTTTCGAATGTGTAAATACATATCAGAAATGATATGACGTAAACTATTGACGAGTACATTTAAAGTTGAATATGCTTTGGTATAGTACATTCCAGATATGTCTTTGCTGCAATATCCAGTAAAACATAAAAGTTATATTTCTTTACATCACTGTTATTTAATTATTTTAAAGTCATTTAACCAACATATTAATAGAAGTGAGTCGATTTATGCCCTTTTGACATTTATAGTATATTTAATCTTTCATATATCATATTTAAAATACTGCTTTACTTTTCAGGTTCAATTGTCCTTACGCTGACAATCAGCGGCGCTGAGACACCGCACGAACTGTCTGCATTGTACTTAGCAGAGAAGGTGAAAGTGTATTTACAAAAAGAAAGGATTGTATTGACGGATGAATCTGGCGAACCTCTAAAACCACAGACTACACCGAAAGTAATGATACCGACAAAAGGTTAGTTGATTCCGAAAAAAGACAATTGATTAGACTATTTTTTATTTTTCCGGTTTGGTTTTAGCAAAATACACAAAATTCAATGCAAGATTTATAAAGATAACACTGTCAATTACAATTAAAGACGTAACAGTATAAATTGTTTCGGTCTTCATTGAAGGCCTGTGTCACTTTATGTCGTGGCGTCCGCCTGTCGTCCATATTTAATTTCAACAATCACTAGTAATCAATATTGTATAAACAGAGTATGTGCCCGGCTGGGATAAACCTGTCTTCTTGTGTTTAATTTAATCTTTCCTAGCTTAAGGTGTAGGACATAAAACAAATTTAACTCACGGGAGAAGATTCTTCACTATCAAGCCATAGCTTCTGGGTCAGAAATAAATCGTACCCCGAGGGTTGCATTTTTTTCTTTTTTTACTCCTTAAGTGTTTATTTCATAATTCCAAGCGATATTGTTGACGTGACGTCATGCAATTGTTATGTCGGGTGAATCTAAGGTTACGATCGAGATATCTTTCTCTGACCGGAAGTGTGGATATATCTGTTTAATCGGGGGGGGGGGGGGGGGGGGGGGAGATGATAATCAAATATGCTCTGGACCACTTTGGGTAGAGAGTGTGCATTATCTTATAAATATAGTGTTTTTCCCTAATCTGCGGCAAGTAAGGGCGGTGTCCATTTTGTTGTTATTTGAAATCCGTCTCCATCTTTACACCATTATACCATGTCTTATCTGGACAATTGTAGGCCAAGGAAGCATGTTGTTTTGATTTTTTCTGTCAACACTTCCACGATAATAGCAATGAGAAGGTTAAACGCTTTCCATACAGTTAGTATGATGCAAGTATCATTGATGACACAATAATCTTAATAAGAAACAGTTAAATTCCTATCTATATTTAGTATATTTTTGGGGGGTTGGATAGGGAATGGTTTACCTATCTTAACTGAGACCCATCCGGCTTTTTGACTGCGTAAAATATATACAATTTCGGACATTTTCTTGAGGTTGGTAAGTATGGATTATGAGAAGTTCTTTTTACACAACCAATACATTTTTCTATGTGACGTTCGATGACTAGTACGATATGTACATTGTCACCTTCATCAGACAAATGACCAATGAAGCGTTTGCACACAAAGGTGTAAAATGTGTACGAGTTGTCCATAAAATCAATGTCGATTTCGGGTACGCTGGAAACGTATGTACAATAGTTGTTATATATGTACCGAAATGACTCAATTCAGCTACGCTTTGTTAACACTTGGTCATAGGTGGGGGGTAAGCAAGAGAGCAAGATTACCGAGGGCCAATACAGATATATATATATATCCCACAGCAGAGAACACTCCTAGAATGTACTGTACACCCAAGATTCACAAACAGGGAAACCCACTGAGGCCTATTGTGGACTGCACTGGAACCATTGGTTACAATGTCTCCAGATCATAAGCAGACATTATTAGACCGCTAGTGGGTAAATCGGACCACCATGTAATGAATTCAAAACATCTAGCAGAAGCTATATCTACCATCATGATTCAGGAAGTCGAAGAATTCATTTCACATGATGTTGTCTCTCTCTTTACTAACACCCCCATCGACGACGCACTTAGAATCATTCGAAAACGCTTAGAATTAGACAGATCCTGGCGCAAAAACACAAACCTTCAGATTCAGGATATTATTGATTTGCTGGAGTTTGTGCTCACAACAACATATTTTAGTTTCCGGAACAACATCTATCAACAACGCTTCGGCACTGATATGGGTAGTCCAGTGCCTCCCATCGTTGCCAATTTGTTCATGGAACGTCTGGAGCAAGAAGCAATAGCCACTGTCCCCATAGAATGCAAGCCTAGCTTATGGAAACGTTATGTTGACGACATACTTGAGATAATCAAGAAGGGGTCACAGAAAGATTTGACCACACATATCAACACTATAGATGCCACTAATAACATCAAATGTACATGTGAGGAAGAAACCGATGGCACAATGCCCTTCTTAGACACTCCACTTGTAAAGAAAGAAGACGAAAGCGTGAAGGTATTGGTCTATAGAAAAAAAGACTCATACGGACCAATACCTGAACTTCAAACCTCACCATCCACCAGAGGTTAGGCGTAATACGCACATTTCTCAACAGATGTGATACAATAGTCACATAACAACAGGACAAAACACAAGAGCAGAATCACATCGCTAGGGCAATGAAAACATGTGCATTTCCGGAATGGGCTCTAAAACGGGTAAAAAACAGTGTCAAAGTAAGGAGAAGAACAAGAAAAGGTCAATCAAGGATAAGAACAAAACCAAAGGTCAAGTGGTTATCCCGTATATAAAGGGTATATCCGAAAGCATCCAGAGGATATATCGCGGTCATGGCATAGCAACAGCCATGAAGCCCCACAAGACGCTTCGCTATATCCTAGTACACCCTAAGGATAAAACACATAAAGAAAACGTCGCAGAATGCGTATACAAAATCGGATGCAAAACCTGCGACGCGTCGTATATTGGAGAGACTGGAAGGCGATTTGGGGTCCGCCTTGGTGAACACCGAAAAGATACAGAAACCCAAGAAGGTAGGAAATTCACCAGATCTGAAAGAAAACAGTCGGAGCCCCAGATAAATAAATCGGTAATCACAGACCATACGACACAGAAAAACCATTTGATTGACAGGGATAACTCCAAAGTTTTGGACACAGAGAGCAATCTGTTCAAGCGGCAGATAAAGGAGCCGCAGTGGGGCAGTTCTAAATCGAGATGAGGGGGCTCAAAGACCCTGCACATCTATGACCAAGTGTTAACAACGCGTAACTGAATTGGGTCATTTCGGTACATATATAACAACTATTGTACATATGTTTCCAGCGTAGCCGAAATCGACATCGATTTTATGGACAACTCGTACACGTTTTACACCTTTGTGTGCATGCGCTTCATTGGTCATTTGTCTGATGAAGGTGACAATGTACATATCGTACTACTCATCGAAACTTCACATAGAAAATTGCATTGATTGTGTAAAAAGAACTTCTCATAATAATATATACAATTTCGATTTCAGAAACACCAACCGTACGCTTTAGTAAAGGATATTACCAATTCGCAGAAGGAGAAACTGCTATTGTGAGATGTGCTATGGTCCCAAACTCGGAGGTTGAATGTATTGAGTGGTTTAGGGTAAAAGATGGAACATATCATGCTATCCGCATTAACAATGAGAAATATTTCGGCGGACCAAAATCGTCATCCCTTGTTATCAGCGATTTGAACGAAGTTGACAAAGGAACGTATATCTGTAGGACTAGCAATGGTGCAAGTAAAGCTGAAAGCGATATTGCGTATATCGAAGTACAAAGTTCAGGTAAGTTGGAAAGTATCTGGTCTGTTCCTTACAGAAATGCATAAGTGGTATATATAAATGTAAAGATAACATGTGTTTTGGCGTTGGTTAGGTAATTCACTGTTGGTTCATAGGCTAACACCGAATATCATTGTTTGCATAGTAGGTGACAATGCTGACTTAAAAGGGTTTAGAAAGAGGCAACTTAATGAAGGCTTTAATCAAGTTGAGAAATACTACATTTCTATGTGTGATCGTCTTCACATTATGCCAATGTAAGTGTAAAATGTATTTAAGTTTATTACTTATTATGTCATAATTTAACCAGTGGGTATTGTAAATACAGGTTACTGATGTTAATTTAACAATGATCTTCACATTTATTGCTGGACACAGATTTGGAACATTGTTTACATGGATTATAGAGTGAAGTGAGTTCGGTGTAATTTTATTAATCTGTATACTGTAAACGCTGATAAAGGCGTTGCCAGCTACTTCCGATATTTATATATATATACCGTATATGTTCACTGCGCCTCAATATCACTTTGTCTATTACTCATACGTTCATACCTTTCGCTGTATAAATAAAGGTAATTGTCTATTTCTAGCTATTTAGAAACGACTGTTAAAAAACAAATTTCCTTTGATTTATGTCATTGAAATTGACCAATGTTTATTTATTTGATCAAGTTTAATTCGCTGATGCGAAATTAACCATTTGTATTCGTCATGCCTATATCGTGCAACACATGGTGGGCAGAACTCTAACAGTTTAAATTCCTACGAAGTTTTTAGTTCAGCTTTGTGTCAAATGTTTCTTCTCCTTTCATCCCATCTGAATATTCTTGAGGTATCATGACCATAGGTTTAATGTTTAAAGGTAGTTCTTTGGAAAATGACCAATTACAATTTATACAAACTAAAATCAATGCAATGTAATGTTCTGCGTGGTGACAACGTGCAAATCATATATCATATCGTATTTTAATGCAGCTCTTTATTATAACAAATCCTTAAACTTCATTTTTAACTAATATATTTACTTAATATTATAACAACTTTAATACTTGTTGCCAAACGATGAATTTATCAAAGTGTGATGCATATTTGCCGGTAATAACAACCAATTATATTTGCCTCCACATTGTTCGTTGTACCTTCGTTCAGATAAAATATTTATTGTTGATTACCTATCTAAAATGGTCATTTTCATGTGCATTGCTTAATCATTGTTAATTTAGTTCTTCCACACTAGCAGTAATACACATGGTAAAGTTACATATTTATATTTATCAGTACGTATTAACTGCATCTAGAGTTGTTTCTATTCTGGTAACTGAATATATGTACCATATATATATTTGGTGTTATATTTCCCTTTTAGATTCAAATCCTAAGGTAGCAGCCATGCTAGGTAAGTTAAAAAAGCTGGATTGAACATCTAATAAGGGGATAAGTGGAATTTATCCAAAGACATCAATAATTACAGACCTCTGTGTAAGGAATATATTTTCAACTCATTTTAGCTCAAAGGCAAGTGAGCCTATGCAATGGCGCAGCGTCCGTCGTCTGACGTCAATCCGTCAACTTTTCCTTTCAAACGCTACATTGTACTTGTCCTAAACGGCTTGATGGATTTAAATTATTTTGGCCAGGAGTATCCTGGGCCAAAGGAGATTCAATTTTGTATAAAACAGAGGGTGTGCCCACCTGGGGGCGAATGGGTGGGTTCCAATAGGGGCAATGGAGATAAATTTTTAGATGCTTCCTCTTCAAAACAAATGGAGGCATTTTAACAAAACTGTGTGTAGAATATTATTGGGCAAGGGAAAATCACTTTTATATAAACGGAGGGTGTGGCTGGGGGAAGATGGGGCAAGCTGCCCCATAAGGGGAAAAGTGTGGTAAATCTTTAAAGTTCTTTTCTTGTACAAATGGAGAGAATTAAATTTTGTTTAGAATATTCATGGGCAAGGGTTATTTAATTCTGTATAAACGGAGGATGTGGCTCCCCTTGGGGCAGAGGACATAGGAGAAAATGTTTAAAATCCCTTTCCTTTTGTATGAATTATGCCGAACAAAGTATTCCCAATTTTCGATAAAATACAAACCCTTTAAGTTGTGGATTAATGAAGAATGTGTTAAAGCCATTTCAAGTAGAAAAAGTGCTCTTAGAAAGTTTAAAAATTGTCCTACCAACCAAAACATATTACATGTACTTAAAGTGACTTCTTCTCAGGAACAAAGTGATGGATATCATCCATACTTGGTTTGGAGTATTGTTCTTGGTGGTTGTTGATTTATAATTGTACCAGTTGAAGGGCTGACCTCTGGGTCTAATGGGTGGCGCCAAAAATATTTGTTTAACTTTGACATTATCGAGATTATGTATGCCTACTCCATTACCATTTATACATGCCCTGCAGGTAGGGCGTAAGAATTGTACCTGCTGCCCCCAATTGCATGATCGTAAGAGGCGACTAAATTTGGGACCTTATCTCTTCTCTCCTTTCTAAATAACTTTCTTTTTCCTAATGTCTCCCTTGACAATGCCTCACTTTTGGCCATTTGTTGAGCGTTCGCCCCTGTGAGGAAGGCTTTGGGTTCTGTCCCCTGGCCGAGACATACCAAAGTCTTTAAAAATGGTAGTTTCTACTCCTGCTTAACGCTCAGCAAATTAGGAGTGGGACGACTGGTTCGCCCGTTGTCAGTATAATGTGACCGGGTGGGGCGTCCTGCTGGGTGTCTTCGGCAGTATGTTTCAGTGAGGTAGCACTATAAAGTCGGCATCAGTTCCGCGCTATTACAAGAAGACAAACACGAACATATCGCAGCCTCCCAAAATACACACACATACACTACACGCATGCATCTTGCACACAGGGGAGGCCGTCCTTAAATGACCTTAGCTGTTAATAGGACGTTAAACCAAATCAAACAAACAAACAAACAAACCATTTATACATTTGATAGGTATAAAGAGATAAATTCTGTCAGGATATCATAATTGACCAACGGGGTGACCCTTCCCCTTAGATCTTCATGCCTGAGCCATAACTTTAAAACAGTTTAGATCCCCACCCCATCATCATATATGCCATTCTTTGACTTCAAGATATGAACACAATTATGGCACTAGTATTGGTATCTGGCCCCACCACTTAGCCTAGGAACTTTATTTCTGAGCCATAACTTTGAAATGAATGAGGTCCTGAACCGATAGCTATACATACCATTGCTGGGCATAAGGATCCAGGTGAGCGAAACAGGCCCAAATGGCCTTTTGTATCACTTTAGGATTAGACTAGATAAATAAGTGGTATATCGATGTTTAGACCGATAACCAAAGTACGCTTTGATTAAATCGCAAAGCGGTTCCTGTAAAGATTGCACTCCAGTTACCGTGGCCATCTATTCTGAAATCGTAGTCGCAGACAATTATTCAAGTGTGACAGATTACTAACATTTCGGGGAGAAAATAGTACTCAGTGTATGACGTCATAAAAGTATGTTTTCATTATTTTCGGTCTTGCTAGATTATTAACACTAACCTATGAAAAAGCATGTGACAACAAATATTAAATTGCTGAAATATATCAGTTGACCTCTTTTCAGTCATCATGGCTTATACACGTATGTGCTACCGATACCGCCATTGTATATGTCTGTTCGATACTTACTTTGCCTCTGATGTTTTGGTTCACAAATTACCTGGCATATATGTATGAAAACAAACATTCCCGCTCAGTTAGCCATAAAACAAACGAGTGCTCTGATGCTTTTAGTGATCTGTTTATAATTTGTTTGAAAAGGGTAGGATGAAAGAGTATTTAGGGTGAGTAACTCATTTTTGACGTTTGTTTAGGACAATCAGATAAGTTGACTAGATGCATAAGTACAATGTAAGAACATTAGTGAATATATAAGATAACATTTCCACAAGATGACAGAATAAAGGGAGGTAATATCCAGTAGTATTAGGCATGAAAAAGTTAAAATCTAAAACTGGACTTTCTGTCATAAAAAAAATTGGTCTAAATTTGGAATATTTTAACCCTTTAGAAAGGATTAATTTAAAATTAAGTATATTTTCCCGAATTTGGCTATAACATTCATTAGTTGATTCATTACATACCCGGGTTAGACTTTCAGAACATGATATTTGGGGTAATTTATTGTAATGCTCCTCGGACAAGTTTTAGGAGAGTATATCGTAGTTGTAATCGTCCATGTCTCCGTCTGTGTTTTCTTAAAATATGTTTTCATGGTGATAACTTCGAAACAAATAATCATATGTAAACCAATTTTAGATGAATGATGAGGTCAAATGCAAATGTTATCAAAGTGGCTACAATTTTAGGAAATTTGAATTATATACTCGAGAAATGTCGTATTATGTAAACTAGCCGTATTTGAAACTATCATGAAACAAGTTACTGGAACTTAGATAAATCATTACTTTTGGCCCGGATGGAATCACGCTGAGTGTCGTCTCAATGTGAAAGGAAACCTGTGTACCCAAAGAAAAACCCAACTTGGCTGGGCGCATGATCCTTTTCATGTCCGATCGAGAAGTTGAAACCCAGCCGACTTGTGGAAAGAGAAGTTCGCTATACAGGTGGTCGGGTGGCGCAGTGGATAGCGCACTTGCCTTTCACTAAGTCGGCCGGTGTTCGATTCCCCGATCGGATGTGAAAAGGTATGGGGTCAGCTGCTCGACCACGTAGGTTTTCTCCGGGTACTCCGATTTCCTCCCACAGTTAGACCGACCGCGCGCTAACATCCGCACCAACAAGAGTGATTAATATAAGTTGAGCTTAATTGTTTCCTAATTGTTGTAAAATGAAGTTTATGTGTATGCACTTCACCATCCGACCAGCAAATGTCGATAACGAGGACAATAGGAAAATAGACGGAAAAAGCGTGGCTGTTGTATTTCATTAGTCACGTGACGTACCATATACGTAAGGGCAGATGTATATAGCCAGTTAGTGCCTATGTACCTTGGACAGGGCGTGAGTTGTTGAATCAAATGCACGATGAGTAAAAAACATGAAATACAAATTTATCTGAATATATATCCTTCAACTATTGGTTCACGGGTTCGAGGCCTTCGTGGGTGGGGCAGATACTGACCTCAGGTCGCTGGTCTTTCTTCTGGTACACTGGTTGTCCGCCAACACCAAAACTAGCACGTCTTAAAAGGGTCACATCTGTTTATAGGGCGTGAAACCAAACCAAACCAAGTATTCAAATGTTCAAGAGCAGCATTCACTTGCTTATCTTTGATTTATGTTTTTTATCATATAACAAAATGGTCGCAAGGCGGTCTTCTTAAGTTTCACACTAAACAAGGTATTTTACGAATCTTTTAAACATGTTTGAATACAATTTTTGCTCGTCATTTCTGAAAAAAAAATAATTAAAATTTCAAATGTATATTCATTTTGGAGTGCATGGATGTCATCTTGTGTTTTGACAAATTAACACATACATATTCACAAACATTATCTCAAATATGGACACACTCACGGCATCAAACTTGTAAGGTAGGCACAAAGACGGTCATATGTATGTATGTGATATATATGTGAGTATGTAGACACACTATAAGTAAGAAAAATGTTCAGATTTCATATAATTAATCAGGGTCAGTTTCATAACTAAAATATCGTGCCTGTCCTAGTCCTAACAAAAAGTCCTCTTTTTTACAGAAGGTACCCAGAACAAAATACAAGAAGAAATGAAGAAAGGGTTCATACTCACGAAAGGTTTCCGCGATGCTCAACAACGGCTTCTCAAAAACCGGGTCGTGGTTTTAAAGGGAAACACGGGAGATGGAAAAACAGTCACCGCCGTTCAACTCCTCCATTGGCTGCGAAAGGAACAACAAGGTATATACCCCCTACAAATAAATAACTTTGAAGACTTGGATTTGGTGACTGCATTGTCACAATGCACTATATTTATTGATGATATATTCGGAGAGAAAGACGTGGGTGCAAACGATGTATGTGAATGGCAAAAAAGGATTAAATCTGTTCTGCCGACACTTTGTGAGCTTGGCAATTACCTCCTTATTAATGTCAGTAATGAGGTTTTCAATTCTTTAAAAAGAGATTCTTCAGAAACTGTTTTTATTAAATCAAACATAATAGATCTCAGCTCAAATGAGTACAAAATCGAAAGTGAAAGGGTAGCTCTTTTGGAGCTTTATGAACCAAAACATAATGCATTTTCATGGACTGACACAGAAAAAGAGGACGTTGTCGAATTTGGTATAGGTGTTGGATTCCCACTTTGCTGTCGGTTGTTTAGAGACGATCCTTGCTTGCAGGAAGAGAGAGTCAATTTTTTTAGGAGACCTTTTTCTTTTTGGAATAACGCGTTGTCAAAATTAGGTCATTATGCTGCCCTTTTCTTCCTCTTTATCAACGGAGATGAACTTATGGAAAAAGACCTAGATCCAAAATGTAAAAGAGGCAATAAGATATTGTTGGAGGAATCATTTGAAATTGATTCAATGTGTTCTGGTGAAGACAGAACTAAACTGACCCACAAGGAAAAAAAAGAGTTTGTACAGAAATATTTAGACACATTATTAGGCTTTTTGGTAGTGAAAGAGAGAAATTATGCTGGAGATGATGTGTATAAATTTTATCATGACTCCATACATGCAACAGTTGCACTGTTATATGGAAAAAACAAACCAATTGGCTATATCAAGAACTGCCCTAGAAAATCTCTTCTTCATCTAACTACCTCAACATTCTCAAAAAACATGATTGCCATTTCACCTGACCTTTATATTGACATGTATACACGTCTTCTCCAAGAGATTAAAATACAGACAAATCATGATCATCCTACTATTGACTCTTTACAAGTTTGGACTGATAGTCAATTTCTAGAAGGATTTATCAAATGGCTTCATGATATCACTCATTTAAGTGAAATTAAGATATTAAACAAAATGTGTTCTTCTGGTGTTGAACTATGTGCTTTACAGCTGCTGTCCAATGGTGTCAAACCTGACAAAGACACACCATTTTGTGTCATTGAAGGAGGAAATTTGAAAGTGTTATGTAAACTACTAGAATATGACATCACTACTACAGCAAGAGCAGCCAGTTCCAAATCATCACATGATGTTTATAATATCAATATCCTACATGAGGCTTGTGTATTAGAGAGAGAAAAGATGGTGCGCATGTTATGTGATAATTTTCCGCACTTAGTACATGCCACTGATAGCTTGAAACAAAGCACTCTCCATCTTGTTGCACTTACAGGAAACTGTAACATATTTGACATTGTTGAGAAAACTGTACTCAAGTCATTGTGTAGAGTTGAGGATGCAAAACACACATGCGAGTCAGCGGATGATTGTTTGGTACATAGGAATTGTGTGTGTGCTCAGTATTTGGCTCAGTTAGTGAGCAGGGACGAAAGAACAGTGTTACATTCCAGTTGTAAGGGTGTACATCGTGAGCTTTGTTTGTATTTATGCCAGTCGTATCCAATATTAACCACAATTGTTGATAAGTACGGCTGCCATTGTTTACATGACATTGCTAGGTATTCGCCAGATGTAGACATGTTCACTGAGTGTCAAATGCAGGTAAAACAGTATCTAGAATCAACAGGACTTACGTATGATATCACAACTTTGCTTGACAATTTAGGGAGAACAGTTCTACATAAAAGTTGTGAGGGTGAGCACAATGAGCTTTGCTTATACCTTTGCCAACAATATCCAGCACTATCTACACTTGCAGACAAGTTCGACAACCATTCTCTACATTATATTGCTAAGTATATGGCAGATCAAGATATATTCACTAAATGTGAAGCTCATGTAAAACAGTACTTTGAATCAACAGGACGTACGTATGACATCACAGCTATACTTGACTATTTAAAGAGAACCGTGTTACATAAAAGCTGTGAGGGAGGGCACAAGGAACTTTGTCTGTATTTATGTCAGTCATATCCAATCTTAACAAGATGTGTTGAAAAGAACGGCTGGCACTGTCTTCATTTTATAGCTAGGTATACGCCAGATGTAGACATGTTTATTGAGTGTGAAACTCGTGTGAAACAATATCAAAAATCAATAGGACGGATGTATGACATCACAACAATACTTGAAAACAGGGGGAGGACAGTGTTGCATCACGCTTGCAAAGCTGAGCACAAGGAGCTTTGCTTATATTTATGCCAGTCGTACCCAGCATTAACAGATGTGGTTGATAAAAACGGCTGGCACTGTCTACATTACATAACTAGACACATGTCAGATATAAACATGTTCATCGAGTGTGAAACTCATGTCAAACGGTACATAGCATCAACAGGACGTATGTATGACATCGCAACCATACTTGACAATGACGGAATGACAGTGTTACATAAGAGCTGTGATGCTAGAAACAAAGAGCTGTGCTTATATTTATGTCAGACATATCCAGCACTAACAGAGGTTGTTGATAGAAAGGGTTGTCATAGTCGTCATTACATAGCTAAATGGATGTCATATGTCAATGTGTCGACGTAGTGTGAAACTTATGTACTCTATTACCAAGAAACAACAGGAAGTAGGTATGACATCACAACCATACTAAACATAAACGTATCACTAGTCAATCGTGAAGGTGGTGTGAAATTTTCATACGAAACATAACAGACCTTATTAAGTGTTTAAAAACTGTCAATCATCGATGAACCTCCATTCAGTTCACCATGTATATGTACTAGTACTGTACCTGATAGTGCAACCTCATTATTGATAGTTTTACAGTCATTTTAGTGATGTGTAACGTGCAGAGAAAAACTAGATAAAGTTTAGATACATTTCAAAATATACCGATCGGTTATTAAATAAGTATACGATGTAACATATTTCACTCCAGCTTTCCGTATTATTTTTCATTCTGTAACATCGATCAACCGATCTCCACTATCGCACATATGTTCTAGCTTGCAGATTCAACGCACGGATGGTTATTTGAACTTATATCAACCGTTGCTCTTATTCTGTCACCGGTTATCATTTATACATTTTTGATTTTTTTAATACATCTTACACAGGCGAACTGCTGTAAAGCACGCCTATCGGAAATACATCCTTCAGACAGGGATTTAAAAAGTTACATTAATGACTTCGATATTTACGGTACATTAAGGGACAAACTAAAGAATGACCTTTCTTTGTTCATAGTTACTTGTATTTTTTTTGATGATTTTATGCTCGAATAGCGGTTGTGTTGCAACTTTGGGAACCTCTAGTTTAAAAACGCTCACACCTTATGGTTAAAACTGAATATTTCTGGCTAGGTCCATGTTGACAATCGTTTTGCCCCTTAGTGTAATACATTTTACCCTGAGGTGTAAACATGATCATAAACCTATTTTAGGATCTTCAAAGTTAGAAGAAAGTTTAATACTTGTATTGGTAATATATTGAACCTGACAGTGCTCTTCAGGCGACAAGGTTAATCGGCGACCATTCAAATATTTTTTGCGTCAAAGTTAAAATTTACATAACGATATGAATTATCCCCGATTACGCTAACAATATGAGGGGAAAACCAGAGGAGTTTCCGATTTATGAACATTCTTTAGTGAAAGCCTCTCGAGGTATGTTATAATACCAGATTTGAGTGGGTTGTTTCTCTTCAGACTGAGCATCTGAATTGAAAATGTGTTAGTTTTACAAATGCATCTGAACTAATTGCATGTATATATTATATAATCAATATATGCGCCTGACATTTGACATATTTCATTTATATATATAATTGATGTGTATGATTTTTGAATCCACACATGTATTATTATGAGTAATGTGCCGGGACATGGATATACTCGATGTACAAATTATTACAATTCGTGTCTCGTAGTGTTGACATACTACATGTTTGCATTATAAGGAAAGATGTTCCTTAACTTTGAAATACCCATTACACATATATTTGATTCGACTGCAGTTTCATATACTACATGTACATATTATTATAAGTAATGTGACTAAACCTTTGACATATTCGTTGTAACTTTTAATATGACTGATGTATATAAGTATAATGTTTGTGCATGAATTTTGACTTACTACTCTGTAAATTCCATAAATGATGCCCCTGAACTTTGACTAATCACCTTTACCATTTCATTGGTGTAAGTCACGTAACCCTTGTGTTGTGTTGTGTTATTATGCTTAATTTAATTTGACGATTATGACCAGGACTTCAAAGCAGCAACATTGCAGGTCTGCCTTGTTGTTTGATACCGGATATAAGCCTCTGATTCCTTACAAAATATGAAAAAGAAAATAAGAATTCTTTGGACAACCTATGTCGTTATTACTAGAAAGTCAAACTTAATTACGACACATTATCTCATTATAACAGCAAAACAAGTCGTCATTACCACATCAGAGGTCGTTAACTAGATAAAGCATGCCGTTAGTACGACTTAACATGATTTATTTGAGACATGTGTCAGCTCCGCTTCAAATCAAAATATATAACTAAATTTTCCAAATGCAATTGACTTTTACCAAATGGCTATGTTTGAAAAATGTGAGGTGCGTGATGGGAGACATTAAATACTTGCTGCATGAATGTGTTGCACTTTTGAGAATTTAAATGCCTTATACGTGAGGTAAACACCAGCAGTGATGTCTTCGAGAAAACGATTTTAAAACTTAGATGTTTGAATAATGAACCAAACATCAACAGTTAAGATTAAGATAACAAACGTTTATATCAAATTATCCATTATAATTGTGACCATAATCACAGTTCAAACACAACAAAAGAAATATTGGATATAATTGTATAGTTTGACAACATATAGTTTGGAATAATGAGATAAAACGTGAGTAATAATAAAGGGTTTATAAATAAATGTAATTATTTATGTAAATTTGAGCGTGTGATTGCTTCTTGATGGTATATATATATATATCAAAGATAGGTTTACAACAAGTAAGCTATTCAGTTCAGTGATTGTTTGTTGCCTTCATCGGTTCATAGCTTATAATACGTAAATAATATCACAATTAACACCAGCATTTGCGCTATTTCAGACTACAGCTTAAATTTTACGACTGTCAATGGCTAGTAAATTAAAATCGTTATCTTTTCGAACAACAACTATAGGTTCCTTAACTTTCGACTCATTTGATAACTGAAAGAGGTTCGTAAACATATTTGGCGGGTAGCACTCTGGACCTGATTTAATTATTTTTTTAAATGACGTCACTGAACAGACATTTATTCAGATTTTATAAATCTGTTAACATTATATAAAATCAACATTTCTTGCAAAATTTGTGGTATTTCAGAAATTTGTTTTTGTTTATGTTTTGATTCTCAATCTCATAGACAAAATACGTTATTGTTACCTCATTGGTACATTTCTAAATGATGTCATTATTATTGTTAATATTTACGCTGTTTCATACAAGAACGTTGATGTAAGGAATGCTTTTCTCTAAGATGTTGTTAAAAGTGTAAGCTAAATATAATGTTAGTTTCTAGACTAATTTATATTTGAAGACTTATACAATATTGTTGGCAATTTCATGTTATCGACAACACATATTTTTGCTGCGATGTTAATCAATATGTTAATACATATCTGTTGTCAGTATTTATGACAAACGTTACGATGTTTCATATTTACACTTTAATGTAAGGATTGTCGATCTTATTTCATAAATGTAAGGTTTGTTGTTCATCGATCTTAAATTTTCCTGTTATAAAGATAATATTTATGATATTTTACACTAAAACTTTTGTCATTCTACTAAATATCACAAATTATTGTTAAATCGCTGATCGTCAATATTATTTATATAAAATTATTATTAAGATCTAAAATATTAACTAATATCTCCATTTCTGGTAATTGATTTCCAGGCTGGTATTGCATTGTTTTGACTTTTGTTCTTATGTTCCTTTCAAGATATTGCTAAGATGTTGATTAATATATGTTAATACATTATGTTATGTATTTGTTTATATGAATATTTTCTATATTTATATATAAACCGTGTATATAAAGATTGCCAATCTCGTTTTCAAATACTGAAACGATATTGATCAAGCTGTCATTAATTAATCATATACGAATTGTTAATATCAAAACTTATTTGTTCAGGTTGTCAATTTCCTTTGCATAATATTATTTATTGGTAAGATGATGATGAATCAGGGTCATTCGGAATTAAACCTTAATCGTATGACTGTTGATTTGCTGTACATTACATGTTTGTATAGAGTTTGATAAATCTGCAAATAATGTTTTTATTAATGACAATTTTTGTATTGGTTAAGACTAGAAATCTAATATATAGACTTACGTTGACCTGAGCATTACAAATTATTGCTAAGATTTGATAATGATGCTATTAATACTGAAAGTATTTACAATTATTCATATTTAAAAAAGTAAGGATTATTAGATTCTTTTCAATTACAAGTTAAAATGTATGTCACGCTGTATTAATGTCACTGTAAATGACAAATTTAGACTTCAGCCTATATCTTTCATCTTTATGCTACGAATTTTATGCTGCTTTCGACGTTTTTCAATCCCTTATACATCTGGAGGTATTACATTGAATAACTGTAATACTTATTTAAATGATTAATTAAAGCATGGGGGTCGAACAATTGAATTTTAGCCTGAAAGTATTTTTTGCATCGTAATACTTTGGGAAAAAACATATCTTTCATGAAGTGCTTTAATAATTTATCTATCATCCATAAAAAGAGTTTAATCTAACTTTTTACATAAAATGTAGGATATTTCATTTTTATTAATCTTTTATACCAAACGTTTTCATAGTATGAAGTAGTCGTGTTGTTTCGAATATGTACGCGAAAATTCAGTCCATAAAAGTGGTGGAAATTATGTTTTTCGCACAAAAAAGTACCCTGTGTACCCAAAAAGGTAAGGGCTTAAGACACCTCCCTGGCATACACCAAAAAGCAATGCATCTGATAACAGGTAACTTTTTATACATTTCATCATCAGACTTTTGTTTTTTAGGGAATCTTTTCTACTCATTTGATAATATTCATCTCATAGTGAAGAGTAAATGTATTGGTGAAGGTTGCAATCATATCTTCGCAAAATCTCGTAAATGTTAGATACACGAAATGTAAAAATAATCCATAATAGAAATGACTTTTGGATATACTGACTAGAAATGACATAGATTGTCCGAAGAGTTACATAAGCATCTGCGAAAAAGAGAATCTGAAACGGAAGTTTTCCTTACTCAACAATCAAGGACCTGTTTTATGGATCCTGTTCACATAAAAAATGTTTTCTATGTTTTAACAATTTTAATTCGAAGGGAAGCAAATCCACACTTCCTCGTGCAAGGCATCAATTCATTTTCACACACAAATTGTTGTGTTCTGTGTCAACATGTGTTGCTCATTTCATCTTATTGGCAATTACTTGAACCCAAGTAAGAGAGTCTTTGAACTCTCAATTATGAAGTAAGTCATCTGAAATATTTGATGACCTTTCAGAAGTGTCGTACAATTAGCCTTCACTCTCAATTTTTGTTTCCTGGATGACACTGGCTGCAAAACTTGGACAGGTTGGTGAAAGAGCAGATCTCAAAATCCATTTGTACTTGGTCCAATTTCTTTCTTCTTTCTTTCTTTCTTCAGTATATACCAAGAGTACACAAAACGCTCTTTTACTGTTTTGGGTTAAGATGAAAACTGATATCTCTTGTATTTACGTATTCCGCTCTTTATGGTATTTCCGTCTAGTATTTCAAAAACCTTTCATTCTGTAGTTCACGCATTGAATAAATCTAGAGTTCAAGTGTTCCTTGGTGCTGACCATTTAGGTAGGGAACATATACTTTCACACAATACTTTATTCTCTGGAGACAAAGTGTCAGCCTTAATAGATTTTGGACACAATAGGACCATTCTCTGGACGCTAAAATGATGCAAGCATTACAAAACTATCATAGACAAGCTCACATGGTTGGAAAAAGACGATAATGTAGTCGTTGAGCGGGGGTTTAGAGGTGTCCTGCCAAAGCTAGAGGCATCTGGTATTAATACCAGTATGGACTCATATCTAAATACTGGTCTGAGACAACACTCTGATCTAAAGGCTAACATTGACAGAACAGTTACTTAATCCTGATGGATTGTAAAGTCTTTTCATGGCCGTCTTAAACTTATGATATTGGTTAGAACTGATTCATTCATATACTTGAGGAAGAGATAAAGAGTGTGACTGAATGTCTCAATAGGATACAAGGACCAATTTATCAAAGATCACCGGAAACTGACAGAAAAGATAGAGAACTCGCACATCAAATGAAGTTTCTGTTTACAAAAACAAACTGTTTGGCTCAAGAGGGTGACTAAACAGCTCTCTCCAAGATAGCAAAGTCAGAATTCGTAAACATTATAAAATATTGGTGAATCAGAACTCTCAAGACCTCATCCGTTGTCAGACTTGTTCCAGACACAAAAGCTAGACTCAATGTAATGTTTGGATTCAGTACAGCACGACATCAAATGATAATAATCCAATAAAAGAGTACTACTGCCAATGCCCAGTTGGTCAAAGAACTATGGGAATGTGTGCTCATACATCAAGTATACTTTATTATCTTGGCTATCATAGCAATCGTTAAAATTCAAAACAAATGCACCCAAGGGCTAAGAAGTTCCGATAAAGCTTAAAAATAGGTTGTTTTCTAGTGAATCTAGAATCACCAGTTTGAAAACAAAGTCGAAGCCTCGCATCATTTTTTTCTTCCCTTTTTTTCCAAGTCTGCCATTCCAGCACATATCATACTCTTGCATCTTGCAAAACATTATCTGTAAATATCATCAGCTGTTAATACGGCGTCTTACTTTGATAAATATATAAAAACAAAGTAACAAACAAACAAACTCTAAATTCTATTGATATTACAAGAAAATTGTCTTGAAATCTGACAACTGATTAGGCAGTAGAGTTAATGTTTTGGTGGCCATCTTGAAAAGGAATAAACCAACGAATCTTTTCCAAACATGTTCTCTGTGCATTAAATATTCATTCCATCTAAACTGGGACAAATATTTTCTCTTCTTTTCTGTCAGTTATAGTCAAAATGATTAGACTATACACCTAACCATGAATAATGAATTTTAGACCATATGATCATTTGATCCCTTCTTTGAATATGTTCCACCACATATTTTGGGTTGATATATTTGTCACTGGTAGTTCATGACCTAGTTCTTCTTTAATCAAAATTGTTTTGGCATACAAACGTTAAAATATACTTTTATTCTAAGATGAACACATTTTTTGTCAGGAAAATATAATTGAGATGGCTTCCGGCTGTTGACTTGTCTGTAAATATCTGATAACCAACCATAGCAAGAGACTTTTACATGTATACTGTAGCATATGATCCCTAGTTTTGGTTGCATTAACGGTTATCCTTCAATGCATTATTTGTTTGACAACCTTTTGTCTTTTGGGAAAATTTCAGTATTATGCTCCTACATAAAAGGAATTAAGTGCTCATTTGAATTTTGGTTGCAATACCCTTGCTGATATTGTCAGTACTACTGAAAATGTTTACAGTATTTCAGTATTTAATAAAAAAAAAATCGTTGCCAATTTCATTACATTACAATTTACTACCACTTATTGATTGTTGAAAAAATCTATAAATGTCATTAATTAATAATGATATTTACGGTATTTCATATTATTTTTGATGTAAGGATTGTTCATCTACTTGATATAACAAAAGATTTATAAGTGTTAATAATTGTATTGACAATATTTGTGGATTTCAGACTGAAATTTCTAATTAACTGTTCATTATTAGATCTTTACTTATGAGTTGAAAGAATGCCTTTATAATTGACATAATTTACGATATGTTATATTAAAACTTTAATGTAAGAAATACTATATTTTACAATACCAAAGATGTACTGGTCTCTAAGTAATATCATAGTTAATAATCATATGCATAATGTTTCAGACAAAACCATAATGTTAAAGCTGACAATTCAAATTTGAATAGCTTTCAGTTGAGATTAAAGATATATTTTCCAGCTTTTGATGTTCCCCAGTGAGCACATGTATCTCTTCTGGCTGTCGTATCTAAGGAAAGGCCGACATTTTAGAATGCACTTGCTTGGTAACGAGTCGGGGTCTCCCTAGTTTTATTGAGCGCATTACCTGTCAAACTGATGGTAACTTGTTCAACATGTACGCCAGGTGACACTACCATAAATGGAGCACTTTCCCGTTTTTGTACCAACATTTTTTCTCATATTAGTTGAATAAAATAGAACTGGAAGACATCAAAGATATCATTTATCTCAGAAAAGTAGAAATATTAGTAATACGACCAACTAAAATATCCAATGCACATTCCCTGCTCGCTGCCCACCCAAAACAACCCACAACAACAACAAAAAAGGCAACAAGAACGGCCCTGAATCAAATGAGCATACGACTAACGCATTGTCCAAAAATACACAAAAAAATTGTTGACTAACGCTTTTTTTGCTACAGTAGTTACGACGATGACCAAGAATCTATGATAAAGTACTCGTATGTGGGTGCGGCTCTATGCACGTGAAAGACTAATGATACACATTTCATTTATTGGTGTAATTTTAGTGATATATCTTTAATTTGGATACACAGTATTTCAGAGTAGATGCGATAAGTAATACCAGTGTTTAAAAGTCTTCTGGTCAGTGCGTTTGATTTTTGATATCGGTTGCCGATCAGGGTGTACGGTGTTTTGAATCGCAAGACGATCAGTTGTAGAATGATAACCGGTTTGACATGTAATTGAGCTATGTATACCAACGACTACCCATACTCGTTACAAAGCAAGCACAAACTTCAAT